AAGTTTTCTCTATACGAACATGTATGTAGTTTTTTTTTTTATGCGATTTTTCAACACACTTGTTAAAAAGAAAATTTTGTCCACTCTAGAACTGTTTTGAAAAATGATCTCCATTCACAACGTAAAAAACAACGTCAGGCACTATCAAGAGCACATCAAAGGAACAGCTGGCACGCAGTCAGAAAAGGAGATAAAGACTTGTCCACACACTGAGGCCCGAGGTCTGAGGCTCTAAAGCACTATAACTGCCTTGTGTGGTACCAGTAGGTCATTAATTTAACTGGGACCAAAAGTCTTGAAATCAGTTCCATAACATGTTCTGAGCTGGTATAAAGCAGCTTAACTGACGGTAATGCAATCTGCAGACCTGCTGACAGAATATCTTTATGAATGTTTAATCTTTGTACGTATAGACAAGCTCCTTTGACTACGATGACCTGGATGACTGAGAACCTTCACAGACACTTTGTGAAAAGTGTTTCTGGGATATACAAAGTATTTGGGATGAGTAAGGATCCATAAACAGAATGCAATGGTCAGCACAATGCTAATGCCCAACCTGTTCTCATGTTACATATTGATTGTTCATCAGGGCTACAACGAAACTAGAACTAGGTTGTTGTTTTTTTGTTTGTTTTTTTAATCCAAACCCAGCCATTAATTTTTGACATCTAAACCTGTTTTATAAAAGAAATTAACCAGATTTTGTATCACTAAACTCAACCAAATTATAATAAAAACCAAAAACTAACATACAATGAAAGTGCACCATTCACTACCCCAACTATGTATATGGATTTTAGATAAGATGCATTTCAATCACAGATTCAGCTTAAGGAAAAGATTAGTGGTCAGGCATTTATCTTATGCCCTCAACCTAACAACCATGATAGCTACAGTATTCTTAGGATGCTAAGTCACAATTTCAACACACTGATTTGGAGCACAAAACTTATTTAAGTTATAGCGTAGGCCAGCGACCTTGGTGTGCACCGTTTCCAAAGTAATTTGTAGGGATGGTGCTCCGATCCAAGTTCTTTTCATTTTTTAAATAGAAATTATTTTGGAAAAAGAATCATTTCAAACTCGTTTCACCTCAGATGTCCCTGAGAAACAGGGAACGCTGCACAGACACACTAACAAATTTTCTTCTGAGAAATTTGCAGTTCAGCAGTTTCACGGCAAGCAGTGATGCTTCCAGTTTGATCAAAGTATTTCTTTCACAGTTAAAAATAAACACATATTTGTATTTACTTTTTATTTCTAACCATATAATCTCTAATATAATTTTCCTAGTCTTAGTTTTCTTATTGTCTGAAATCCAGGTTTTATCATTTCATTTATCACATGAACAAATCATTCACTCAGTCACTGAATTTATGCTGATTGTAAGAATTTTGTTGTCAGTTTATTTTTTCTTTCAGACAGTTTACGATGAATCGGAGAGAGCGTTCTCATCGCATGGATGATGTGGAACTGTCACTGCAGCATTATAAGCTGGCACGGGCCAAGTTATTTCCCCAGGCAAACAAAAACACACTTGCTGCAGCCTGCATCATGCTGTTAAATCATCACTCACATTACTAAGTGTGTGTTTTCTTACTAAGACAATACTAATTGTTGTTCCACTAGAGGAGAACTGATGGATGAGTTGATGGGCTTACAGTAAAGGTGACATCAGCAGTCAGTAACAGTGACTCCTGTCAAGCAGTTAAAAACAGATCAACATGTCAGAGATGCCTAACTGCTGCATTTTACTGCTTTATTGCCCTCGGTGGGGATGATTGTAGTAGTGAGGTCAAGAGAACGTGAGAAGGCCAAGACGTGAAGGCACTTGAAGCTTCATGTTACACTGTTGTTCACAAAATACACCTCATCTGGACCCAGCAGCTAACAAAATACACGCCCATCTACCAGCTCTGCTGTCTTCTCAGATCTTCTTTGATCATTTTTCTTCTCTACCTTTTCTCTCGTTCCTATTCCCCTCTTTAGTTTTTCTCCACTTGCCTTTTCTGTTCTTTTTCACCTCTCATATTCCCCTGTTCTAATTCTCCCCATCATCTTTCTTTTCCTTGTCCTTTCTGGCTCCTCTTTTTTACCTTCCTTTATTTTCTCTTTCATTTTGTCTCATTCGTCTTTTTTCATTTCTGTTTGATTTTCTGTTTTCTTCTTGTTGTTTATTGTTTTTGAGCATTTTGCGTGCAGGTAACATTTTACTGCTCTAAATCAAATTTCTAAATCCTGACAACGCAACACAGAATTAAGGTTTGTTCAGGGTTTCCCATTTTGTTGGAGGAGAGGGTACCTGGACAGAAGTTTCCAGGTCAGCTGAGGTCAGATACTGATGATACTAATTCACCCCAAATGTATTCCATCTGTTTGAGCTCATGACTCTCTGTAGGCCAGTCTAGTTCTTTCACACCAAACTCGCTCATTCATGCTTTTATGGCCCTTGCTTTGTGCGCTAGTGCACGGTCAGATTGGAACCGTAACGTTCATGCCAAAACTGTTCCCAGAAAGTTGGGAATATGAAATTGTCCAGAGCTGTCTTGGTATGCTGAAGCATTAAGAGTTTCTTTCACTGGAGTTAAGGATCTGAGCCCAACTCCTGAAAAACAACCGCAGATCAGACTCATCCGTCAGATTGCCAGATGGAGAAGCGTGATTAATCGCTCCAGAGAACCCGTCTACACCTACAGTCCAGTGGAGATGTGCTTTACACCACTGTATCCCTGGATTTGCATTGTGCTCAGTGATATAAGGTTTGGATGCAGCTCTTCATGCGCTGCTCTTGAGCTAATCCGAAGGCCACATGAGGTGGGGAGGTCTGTAACAATTGACTATGCAGAAAGATGAAGGCCTTCTGCCTCAGCATCCACCGACCACACTAAGTGATTTTATTCAGCCCTACCACTTCTTGTCTGAGTTTCTGTCATTACCAGTCGCTTTCACATAGTAGTACCATTAAAAGTTGACTGTGGAATATTTAGTAGCGAGGCCTTTTCATGACTGGACTTGTTCCCCAGGGGGCTCCTGAGAGAGACTCGTTCTTTCACAAATGTTTGTAGCAGCAGTCTGCATGACTGGTCACTGATTTTATACACCTGTGGCCATGGAAATGATTGGAACTCCCGAATTCAGTGATTTACATGGGAAAGAGACTACCTTTGGCAATATCGTGTATCTGACCATGCGTTGATTGCATGCAGTTAAAACAGCCCATAGGGAATGCAATATGGGAACACAGTGGCCAGTATGCAGTCTCAAAACCACTGACTATTGCTTTAATGTCTACTGGGCATCTGCTGAGTGGAAGATCAGTGCTTCAACCACTGAACCCCAAACCACTTTTTGTTAATGGGCCACATGGGCTGAACTTAGGCAGCAAGGACGGAGGTGACTCTTCTTAGCTGATATGAACATGACAGGTGTGACTCTGGGTGAACAGAGAGCTATTAGTCTGAGAAGGCCAAATAAGTTCTGTAAGGAAAGTCCAATTAGTGAGTGAAAGTGAGGTAGCTTACTTGGACTCCTGAGGAAGAGGTGACTGGTCTGCTTTTCCACAGGTGGAGAGAATGCTGCAGGCAGTTGAGTAAGTGAGGTGAGTGCTCCAGGAAGAGCCTTCAGGTAAGGCAGAAACTGCTATTTTTTCAGAAAACTCATGTGCTGTCAGTCTCACACTTGTAGCAAACATAGCAGAGCTGGTGACTGATGTTTGTCTGCTGGGTTTCAACAATCTTGCACTGGTATTGTGTCCAGTTGCACTCCTGTTTTCACGTTATAAAGCTTATGTGGGGTAGGAAAACAAAAGGTCGTTTATCTGGAACAGAGAGCTTTTACAAACTAGAGTGGTTTTCAACATTAAATCGGAACAGAAAAAAAAACCTAAGGACAACATCCAAAATTGGCTTGCGTAGATTTCTTACACTGTTTGTCCGGATTAAGAAAAGGCTGTTCTGAACTCCACTGTTAGCGCAGCTCGGGAGCTTCTCTCGGGATGCTGATTGCTCATGTGAAGAAAAAACACACTTTTTGTCTAAATGATTTGCTCTACATGAGCCCAAAGTGTGACCAGGTAACACAAGCAGAAGTGTTGTGGGAGGTTGCTGTAGTTTCATTAACAACATTTCCCATAAATTGCTATTAGGCTTCTCGTTTTCAAACACAGTGCTGTAATTAATGTTGAAAGTAGATTAAACCCTGACAGACACGCGACCTGTCCCAGGTGTTTCCCTCTGGAAGGACAAGTTAAATAACTAAAGCACAGATGTCATTTCTTAAACACAACACTGACAGCAGCATTCGCTTCAGTTATTTATATATCACTAATCCACGACAGCAGTGAATTGCAGGGGTAAATTGAAAAATAGATCCTGTGGGTATTTTTAAAGAATTGAAGCGTAATCATCAACATCTGCAACAAACAGACTGACTGAACCTTTGTTCGGGGCAAACGTGTTTTTCGTTGTACTGAAACTGTGTGTGATGCAGATGTGCTGTGAAAACTGTATTTTGCATTTACAGTTTCAAGAAAAGCTCAGAAAGTTTCGAGAAATCTGTCTTCTGACAAACTGTAAATTATTGGTCCCGCTGCTGTCCCCACCCACAAGATTTCAAGGAGGGACTTGAGCCTTTCACCATTTAACCAGTGAGTAGCCGGGTCCCAGTGACACAGAGGGCTTTTCAAAAGCTGGAATCAAACCAAGCAGCAGCGCATCGAGCTGGGGATCCCCTCACGTTTCCATCCTAGTCATGTAAAGAGCAGCATTACAGCCTTTCTGCTTTATAATGGATGCGTCCGCTTTTGATGTTTCGAAGAATTTTTCACTACCCAATCAGCTGGATCAGTTTTCTGATAAATGTGACAGGAAATAACTGCTGCAGACTTTGTCGGTGTGGATGGACAGGTCAGGAGTGCATATGCGACACTGTGGGAACGCTTGGATTTATTTACCGCATCCTTCTGGGATTTACTGCCGAAAGAACTCTGCTCCTTAAAATAAGAGAGAGAATGTATGGAATAAACCAACACTGTATTTACATGTAAGCGGGCCACACACTCTGATTGTATGATAGCCACAAAAAAATCACTTCTTTGTTGCTCATTCATTTTTTGTTACTCCTGCAGATCGTTTCATTTTTTCGTGCTGTGGTGTCAGGCTCAGGTAAGCCACTAAAACTTAAACCTGTTAACAATAAGGAATAGCTGAAAGAAGGAACAATTACAAGGCTGCGATCCAAACGACATTTGAATATGAGTGCCGATGTTAGTGTGCAAAGGAATATTCATTTGTGAAAAAATCTGACGTATTTTGGTGCTTCTAAAATTGGCTATCGTTTCTTTATCCCAGATTAGAAAGACAACATTATGTATTTCATTTTTCCCTTTGCATAAAAAAGGGGGAGAATCACCCGTCTCCTAATTTTAACCAGTATGTGAGGACGCAGGGCGCAGTGACGGACCAGCTCAGCCGAAGACAGGTCAGAGTTTACCAGCTCTACAGTCGCACTAGCGGGAAACACGTCCAGATTCACGGCAAAAGGGTCACCGCCACCGCCGAGGATGGAAATCTGTACGGTAAGAGCTAACAAGTTACTTTAAGAATAACCAAGGATTACGATCACTAAGGCCTACCGGTAGATATTTCATGATATAAAGATATTTCTTTCCAGCAGCCCATCCCTCGAAAAAATAATACAAAAACATTTACGTGAAAAAGATTTTCAACTGATTTGTTTTATGTTCTTCTTTTTCTTAATGTAAAGGTACATTTTTGTTCAAACACGCATACTGTGAAGTACAGTTAACATTTGGGCAATTAACATCATTTAAAACGTGTCGGGATAAATATGTAATGATCACAAACTGGTGTTATACATTTAGATATAATTTAATACATTTATATTGACAGACTCACCACCGGATTGTATTTTTATTTTGAATAGAGCTGCCACAATATGAACTTTTCTCTACGTTAATATTATGGCTGAATATTCATGTAAAATATTACTGATATTATTATTAATGTTTCCTTAGGAAATAATAATAATAATATTAATAATAATAATAATAACAATAACAATAATAATAATAACAATAATAATAATAATAACAATAATATTGATGATAATGATAGTACATTTTGTGACTATGTAACTATACCTGTACAGAAACCTTGAAAAGAGCAATTGCATACTTATTTACCATATCTCAAATGTGTATTACATTCACAATCTATTTGATATTTAAAAATCATGGATATCATCAGTAGGCTTTGAGTATTAATTTATTTTTCCAAAATCCAAAAGTTTGTTCATTCCACAATTTCTATATATTGTAATAGTTGCATTATCAAAAGGCACAAAATGATGCTAGCCACATACTAAAAAAGGGCCATTTTCCACAAAGTAGCTGAACATGTTAAGAAAGTGTCATACATATTTTTCTGTTAAAAGCTTTAACATTTCGATCTTCCAAATAGGAGAAAATTCTATATTCAGTAGAGATTCAGTTGAAATCCACTGAGACGTCAGCTGAACCAAAACCGTTCTCCTGTCCCAATAAGTCACAAATGACTTGGTGGAGGTTAAGAGGTTAAGGGTTTTGCATAGTTTGGCAGAATGCAGTACACTAGTCTGCAATCAGTGACAATGCCTTGTTAAAGAGACTCTTCCGAGGAATTAGTGACAATCTGGAGTTTTGTGGTTCCCCACAGCGCAGCTATTTAGCCCCTGCTGGGCACTGATGTCCTCAGGCAAAGCCAGCAGTTTCACATCCAGCCTGCACGTCCCTCCCACTTTGAGGTGTTTTCAGTCCTGTATGTTAATTCAGCCTCCCTGCTGCATCCATGAAACCATCGTCTGATGAATTTAGTGGCTGATTAGGACAAGCCCTTTGTTTCTGTAGTCCCAATACACAAGACTGTTGTAATGGCCATGATTAACTGCAGAATAATAAGTGAGAATGTATATTCAGCTTGCAAGATCTAGGTCTTTAATGACCAGACATAACATTTGTTTAATCAGTTGGTGTTTTGACTTTCATCAGGTTGTTATCACTAAGGAGTTTCAGCTCAACAGAGTCCACAGAGCAAAGAAGTGCAGATTCTTATACTAACAGCATTAACTCATTATCCCTGCAGGTTTTATATCTGTAGTGAATAGCAGACACTAAATGCTGGTCATACATGGTACAGCAGAAATCGGGCTTTATATTTCAGTGTCACTGTGTGTTTTCAATAATACCTGATTCCCATAAAGACATTTTGTACATGACTTATTCCACACACAAGACAAAAGTGAGTCTGTGGCTGTGTCCTAGGCTCCTTTTGTCTTCAGCCCCCTGACAGTCTTGTGTCTTTCCCGCAGCTCGCCTGTTTGTTGAGACAGACACCTTTGGCAGTCGAGTTAGGATAAGAGGTGCAGAAAGTGGGCGCTACCTCTGTATGAACCGGAAGGGGAAGCTTGTTGGAAAGGTATGTGTTGAGGAGTATGTGTTAACACAGAAACTACACCTATGCTGACTTTAGTGAGCAAAGTAGGGGACAAATGTGGTGAAGCAAAAAGAAATAAAGAAACAAAAAAGCAGTCAAACTGTGTTATAGTAGACATCCACCAGGTCAACCCATCTAGGGTTAGTGTTGGGTTTTGTTTTAGCTACACTCTAAACAGGAAGGTTTTCAGAAACTACAATATTTTATATTTTAAATGAAGCACACTTTGCCAATGCAGTATTTTTTTTTCCAAAACTTTTATTTGGGGTAGATATTAACTGAACGCAAACCCCACTCCTAACCCTAACTGTAACCCTAGGTTCCCAATGATCTGGTGGATGCTGGTGGATACTGAGAGGTTAAGGCAAAATGAACACCTTGAACATCTTGAAAATGAACACATCAGGTAGAACACATCAGTGCTATTGTTCCGTCTGTAGCATGTAAAGTTAGCGTAACCATCTTCCCATAAGAAAACTTACCACTGATGAGAAAACTTTTCCTCAGAGGAAATACAGACTTTACTTTTACACACTGCATATCCAATAAAACATACACTGTAGCTCAGATGCTAAAGCTCCAGTCCATTGTTACTGAATTCTCATACCTTGTCAGTCACTTCAGGACATGATGTAGTACTGGAAAAAAGGGATCCTCTCAGGACTGAGTGATATCACTCAGTCCTATTGGCCATGGTTGACAATGACTGGGGGAAGTACCCTCCCATCATGCACACCCTGTGTGTTTGGTCATAAGTCAACTCTCCACTTCCTTCACGGAAATGGAAAAGATGGAATCACATATCTGGCTGACATGACAAGTCATAAATCTCGTTCTCATCACGATTCAGAGGTGTTGAAATTGTGGCTGCTGTGATATCTGTACAGAGATAAGAAGTTCAGTGACACAGTCTGTAGGTGAAGATAAAAAGAACAGTTCTTTTCAATAATTCTGTGTACAAAGTCGCAACAAACTTGAATGTAACCATCACACATTTTCTGCTACATTTTTCTAGTATTATAGATTGTACCTGTTATCAACATATCAGAAGATGACAACAAATGATTAAATCACATTAGTTTCCTTTGATCATTGGGGAAAGGGGTGATTACATTTTTAATTTGATAGCTATCAACTGTTTTAACATAATCTAAAATCAGAAGCTTAGCGCAGCATGAAGACAGCTAGCACATCTCTGTGCAAAGGTAACAATATTTGCCAGCATTTAACCACGTGAGGCTTAAGTCGTTATCATTGACGATCACAACTTTAACCCTAACTAATCGTAGGCAATGATAATATGAACGTTTTGGTTTTCCATCTTTCTTCCAAATCTTGGCAATAAGGGAACAAATAGAACAATAATTCCAACTGAAATCCATGAATACAAGTCATAAAGGCTCCAGCCAGTTCCAGCCCTAACAGTCACCTTAGGCAATCTGAATACGTTTTGTTTTTGCAATTAGTGAAGAAAGAAAATAAGAATTCTACCTGACACACATCAGAAGCTATTTGCATAAGTGAGTCAGCAGAAGCTCACTGTTGAGTAAACTGAAATAAGAAGGGTTATTGTTCTGGGTTATTGCTCGTTCTCTCAGCATCTCATTTATATCAGAATTTGGTTTTGTCTTCCAAATGTTAGTCTTATTTTAAGCTGTTTGCACTGACATTTTTTGACACTGTATAAAGCCATTTATTCCATGAGTTCAGTTTTATATATAGATGAATCAGTTTTTGTCCAGGTGTAACACAAGAAACCTTTCTGTCTTCTCACACAGCCAAATGGCCGGAGCAAAGATTGTATCTTCACTGAGATTGTACTGGAGAACAATTACACAGCCTTCCAGAATGCCAAGTATGAGGGCTGGTATGTGGCTTTCACCCGGAAAGGGAGGCCCATCAAAGCCTCCAGAACGAGGGAGAATCAGAGAGAGGTCCATTTCATCAAGAGGCTGCACACAGGATTACCTCCCTTCCCCAACACGGACCAAAGTAAACCATTTGAGTTCATCAGATTTCCGTCCACACGTAGAGCGAAGCGGAACAGGAAAATCACCTAGCTCTTCCTAGGCGCAGCAAAAGTGATGGACTGATGACAGTTGTGACATGGGAAGAAACAGATGCAACTTTATTTTTGTATATTTTTTGACAAGTGAAAAATGCCTTAGATGCCATAATATTGCTGTAAATACTGAAAGAGAGTAAAGCAAGTGGATTGTATTAAATTGTCTATTACGTCTGTGCGAGTGTTGAGGGATGAAGTGACACGATGCATAGGGTGGCTAGCAAGAAATCTGAGGAAGCCTATGAAACAGCCCACGACACCATTCGATACTACACTTTCACATTTCAAATCAATCATAAAATACATTCAGTTGTGCTTTAAAGGATGTTTTTTCTTTATGTTCCAGTGGGTCGACACAATACTACCATTCATACCACAAGGAAACATTTTTAAAGCAGCAGGTAACAAACAAAGAGCTCCAATAAGGTCATATTGGAGACAGTTGACAGTTAGATTTAAAATAAATTTGAATTTTTGGCCCAAACATGCTGGCTGGATTCAGCCCTACATTGTTATGAATGGGTAATCTATCCAGAGAGATCAGAAGGGGGGTTGCCACTTCAATTAAAAAAGAAAGAATGGAGAAACATATTTTACTTTGATGTAAAATCTAATTTTTCCTAATAAAATGACATTAAATGTTTAGCTGTATTACACAATCACTGTCTAGATATTTGCTCTGACTTTGTAATCGGATCAATGACATACCACATTTTCTCCTAGCCTAGTGGCAAAGATATTTCATGTATCAACATGCATGAACTAAAGGGAATGTTTTGGATTTTAGGACACTACTCAACCTCATGGGAATGCCAAGGGTGAAATCTGTACATTATCAGTGTCAGCAAGATTTGTTCTGTGTACGCCGTGAACATCCATCCATTCTCTTCAACTTATCCTTATCAGGGTCCCGGGGGGCCTGGAGCCTATCCCAGCTACTATAGGGCAAGAGACGGGGTACACCCTGGACAGGTCGCCAGCCTGACGCAGGCAAACAGACATCTCATCATAAAAATAAATTATTTGAGATAACTCAGTCTGCATTTAACAGTTTACCAATCTGTGCTTGCAAGTGGTCCACTTATACCTTCACAGAAAGGATGGAGTGTTGTTAGTGTCTGCAAATGCATTTACATACAAACACCAGTGCTCATATCACATTAAACTGTGTTGCTGTCGGTCAGGACTGACCTATGCTGTTTGGAGTTGAGCCAGTGAATGTAGCTCTTTTAATGAACTTGGCAAACAAGGAAGGTTTGAGTCTTACTCAGTATTAACACTGATGGAGGGAAATGTGCCTGCATTTATGTGAATATAATGAGATCTATTTTTAAAACAATGGTAGGAAAACACTTGAAAAAAAGATGAAGGAAGCACACGAGTATTTAATAATCCCATTTAAATCAGATGTGTGGCTTCAGAATGTTTTTCACAGTAAATTTATAGAAATAATTTTATAACATTCAAATGATTTCATTAAATATTGATAAACCAGATGTGAATATGTATGTATAGTATCTTCACCTCATTAAAAAAAATATTGATATAATATATGAAATGTACTACATATATAATAACCACAAAGCAATAACAATTATTTGTAATAATTAGTGCTCCCAAAAGTACAGCAGCAGTCATTTCAGTCGCATGTGTAGGGATCATAGCCCTCATTGATTATGAATTTCACATTTGTCTTTTTAAAAAATCAGGAATAACAATGGAAGCTCAGCAGAATTTAATGTATTTTACTACTTTTATTTTTTTATCTTTGAAATTATTCTCTGCTCTTTTTCTTCTTTTTCTCGTAAGGTCGAAGGTCAGAGTTGACTAAAGGACAGCGTCCCCTGAATGGCTGCGTCCCAATCCAGCGACCCATGCTTCGGAGTACGCGCAGTTCGCGTACTAGGTACGGCGCGTGCTAGGAAGCACGAGAAGTGCGGAAGTGCGAGCCTTGTGAAATGGGACGGTGTAGCCTTCGTCGCGCTGCTCAGGTTGCCTAGCAACCATGATACTAACCGCGCGAAACGTTTCATACAGTTTGTTTGACAGAAATGAAGGAGAAAAATGTTTTTTTGTAAATTCATTTTTTTTTCAATGAGATCACTTTGATCAGTTGAGTATCTGAGGCTGAGACCACGTGACTGTAAAACATGATTGTTGGGCTTTTCTGTACTGAACAGTCATTTTAAGATTAGCTAGTAAATAACAATTAGTTCATGTTGGTCGTGAGACTAAAATCATCTCACTTTGGTAATGTAAATATAATATGGCCGATATTATAGTAATTGTCAGATTATTATATTACAGCAGTGAACTTGAACTCTGTGTCAAACACTGAGCTTCAGTAAAGATTCAAGTTGCATTTATTTAAATTTCCAATCACCTTAAATCTTCACTCAAAGACAAGTGTCTGTGACAGTGTATCTATAGATGTGTTATATATAAGAGACAAATATTGTTCTTT